GAATGAAAGTAAGAGGGAGAGAAACAAACAGACCCACATAGATTCAGATGCTGATTTATTTCAGGAGATCTGATGCAACACAAGTGTGAAAGATGCAACTAGATGTTACTGAAGGTACTGTGGTGCTGAATCATAGCTACAAGTGAAACAAACATGGCAAAAAATATATATATATTTTTGACTTTTGAAGCAATAACTGATATCCCAGGGAGAAAAGGACGATATATTTTTATTTTACTGCGCAAAAATGAACTTTTTATTTATTTTTGGATGCATATTTAATTATATAGGATATAATGTTTATGTTTATGTAGCAGTAAATAGTGAAAACTGATATTCAACATACACTCTGTAAACTGTTCCACACTTTTATAAGGATTTTTCACCCAAAAATAAACATTTACTCACCATTTTACGCACCATCAAGTAGTTTTTATTATTTTCCATTTTCTGTTAAAGAAGACATTCTGTAGAATATTTTGAAACCAGCTATTCACATCTGTACAAAAAAACAAGCGAACAAATACTTTGAAAGTCAATGGCTTTCAGTTTCCAATATCAGGTTGTTTGCGGGGTCCTAAAAAGTATTAAAAGTACATTCATTCATTTTCTTGTCGGCCTAGTCCCTTTATTAATCCGGGGTTGCCACAGTGGAATGAACCGCCAACTTATCCAGCATGTTTTTTATTTACGCAGTGGATGCCCCTCCAGCCGCAACCCATCTCTGGGAAACATCCACACACACACTCATACACTATACGGACAATTTTAGATTACCCGATTCACCTGTACCGCATGTCTTTGGACTGTGGGGGAAACTGGAGCACCTGGAGGAAACCCACGCGAATGCAGGGAGAACATGCAAACTCCACACAGAAACGCCAACTGAGCCGAGGTTCGAACCAGTGACCCAGCAACCTTCTTGCTGTGAGGCGACAGAACAACCTACTGCGCCACTGCATCACCCCACAGTATTAAAAGTTGATAAATCAATTTAGAGAAACTTAAGACCCTTAAAAAGTCTTAATGCGGTTACAAGGTGTTAAATGTTGCATAATTTTTGATTATACAGTTGTATAATTATTGTTGTTTGCTAAAGTTTGAAATTTTGGGATGGTGTATAGTTTATGAATAGAAAAAATCTTGCTATACTTGATGTCACACTGCTTTGTTTACTGCAGTAACGAAGGCAGCACTATTATTTCTGCTGTTCTATAGGCTACAAACATAGTTCAAACATAGTTTGTTTGATTATATACAACATTTTATTCTTTAAAAATTGGGAAAATTGATTTATGTATGGTTTGCTTGCAATGTTTTCTGAATTAAGGAGTGATAAAAGATTCTCAAAACCCCTTTAGTTAACAAATCTTTACATTAATATGTTTAAAAAATGTGCTATATTTTTTTTAAACTTAACTTTGATCATGAATTCTGAATCCTAAACAAAATGTTAAGATTTTTGTGCTGGAAATGTATGCAAATTAGTGATTGTTTAATTAAATAAGTCTAATTAAATAAATAAGCCTCATTTGCACATTTAAAAGACCTTGTAGGAAACTTTTGCTATATATATATATATATATATATATATATATATATATATATATATATATATATATATATATATATAATTTTCAAAATTTAATGTAATCAATCAAGTGGTAAATTTTGTTATAAGAATGAGTTAATCTTACCATATTCACCAGAGTTTTGCCTTTATTTAACTTTTCATTTATTTATTTATTTATGAAATGAGCATAAAAAGAGACCAAAAAACGTTTGAACGCAGGCGCCGTCATTAGCAGCAGGCTAGCGCAAAAAAAAAAAAAAAAACGGGGTAAAATTAATTTCCATATTTTAAAGACATGGCATGGAAAAAGGCGACACGGTGGCGCAGCAGGTAGCACATTCGCCTCACAGCAAGAAGGTTACGTATTTGAGCCTCGGATGGGTTCTGTGTGGACTTTGCATGTTCTCCCCATGTTGGCTTGGATTTCCTCCGGGTCTAAAGACGTGGTACAGGTGTATTGAGTAGGCTAAATTATTCTTAGTGTATGTGTGTAAATGAGTGTGTACGAATGTTTCCCAGAGATGGGTTGTGACTGGAAGGGTATCCACTGCGTAAAAGCGTGCTGGATAAGTTGGCGGTACATTCTGCTGTGGTGACCCCAAATTAATAAAAGAAACAAGCCGAAAAGAAAATGAATGAATGAATGAATGAATGGCATGGTAAAATGTAATTTAATTGTTTCTGGTATGGTCTGATACCCACTTTATATTGTATCTCAGGCAGGCAGTTTTTTTTTTAAGAAATCAGATCTTTTTAGTTAATTTTTAGTTAGTTCATCATACAATTATATTGTCCCACCAAAAAACTCAAGAATTGAGTTTGAACAGTTTGAATAAGCAGCAATATTATTTTTTTAGTTTGCTAGTAGGGAAAAAAAGAAAGTCTCGACCCTTACTTAAATACGTTAACATGGCAAAATAAAAGGCTCAGCATGTTCTGGTTCACACAGACTTTAATATGCAGTGTTTTTTTCCCACAAATTAAACAAATTTTGACCGAGTACTTAAAATTGTTAGGGCATCTGCCGCATAAATCATATGCCAGAGTAATTGACGGTTCATTCCATTGTCGTAACCCAAATAAATCAGGAACTAAGCCTTATTTGCCTTATTTGTATTTAAAAACAAATGTGCACAGTTTACCCCATGTAATTCATTTTATAATTCGAGTTGTTTTTCGGATATCTGACCAATGCTGAATCATAAACAGATCTCAGGTCAAATGCATCTAACAGAACAGCTTCAAAATGAAGTATGGCTGGAAAGTAAGAGAACTTTCCATGCAGACTATTTTCAGAAGTCCTTTGCCAATGCATAAATCTCAGCTTTTGATTATTTTAAGCATTCCTCGGCGCGCCATTCACACTAAATGGTGTGAGTTACATTCCTGCGTTTTGGAGGGGGGGAAAAGGGCCCCAGAAGGGCTTCTTCCATTACTTCTCATTAACTGCGGCCCCTGTGGCTGTTGATGTTACATTTCGCTTGATTAAGCGTTTGTCATTTACACTTTCATCAAGCATCTCTGTCAGCCTGCGATTCTGTTACAGTGTGAACATGTGGGTTGTCGTCAGTTTGCGTTTTTCGTGATGAATGACTTTTATCAAGTGACCGATCCAAACAGGCTCAGTTCAGCCGTGACCGTCTCTGTAAAATGTTATGAGTTGTTGTGACAGTTATCGTGTCGTGTTTGTGATTTTATTGCATGGAGGCAATGAAAGTCAGTAACTCGAAATCAACCTGACAAGCTGAGTTTTAGCAGATGAAGTTTGGGTGTTGAGCTGAAATGTCAGTTAAAAGCTGCTGAATGGCAGGTTTACCGTTTATGTACTCTTGTCCAGAACTTTGGCATGACATGAATATACTGGAATGCCCCTTTTGTTTCTGTTTTTAAAGGTTATTTTAGATTATTATTATTATTATCATTATTATTTTACAATAGTTCATTTATTCATTCAGCTTAGTCCCTTTATTTATCAGGGGTCGCCACAGCGGAATGCACCACCAACTTATCCAGCATTTGTTTTACATAGCAAATGCCCTTCCATCTGCAACCCAGTACTGGGAAACATCCATACACACTCATTCAGACAAATACACTATGGCCAATTTAGTTAACTCAATTCACTTATAGCGCATGTCTTTGGACTGTGAGAGAAACCGGAGCACCCGTAGGAAAACCATGCCAACACAGGGTGAACATGCAAACTCCACAACTGACCCAGCCAGGACTCGAACTAGTGACCTTCTTGCTTTAAGGCAACTGTGCTAACCACCGAGCCACAAATATAATTATTGGTATGATTCATGATTTTCAAAGTTTATTTTGTTACATTTTTTATTTGGTTTTTGTGTTGTTGTTTTTTTAGATTTTAAATTATTTTAAAATAAAGGACAGGTCTTGGCTCTAGGTATGATTGACTTTTTTTATATTTAGTGGCATTTTGGATTCGTTTTATTTTTAATTTTCGAATTAAATGTAATTAATTTTGGGCAGTGCGGTGGTGCAGTGATTAGTGCTGTTGCCTCATAGCAAAAAGGTCACTGGTTTGAGCCCCGGCTGGGTCAGTTGACATTTCTATGTGGAGTTTGCATGTTCTCCACATGTTGACGTGGGTTTCTTCTAGGTGCTCCGGGTTCCCCCACAGTCCAAAGAACATGTGGTATAGGTGAATTGGGTAAGTTAAAATTGGCCATCATTCATGTGTGTGAATGAGAGTATATGGGTGTTTCCCAGTGATAGGTTGCAGCTGGAAGAGCATCCGCTGCGTAAAACATATGCTGGATAAGTTGACGGTTTATTCCGCTGTGGCAACCCCCGAAAAGAAAGTGAATAATGAATTAAATAATTTAACATTTTAACACACAAACATATATATATATATATATATATATATATATATATATATATATATATATATATATATATATATATATATATATATATATATATACACAATAGATTTTTGAAAATAATGATTTTTTTTGTAATAACTGTTAAGATTAAATATGTTGGAATTTCATAAAATTCCTTTTACAGAATCGATGTTGTAACATAATTAAAATGCATTCAGTTAAATAAACCATCAGGATCAGCAGGCTAATGTAAAAACTCCATTGAATATACTGGGGGAAATACTGAATAGACTGTGGGGGAAATTGCAGCACCTGGAGGAAACCCACACAAACACGGGATGAACATGCAAACTCCACTCAGAAATGCCAACTGACCCAGCCGGTACTCGAACCAGTGACCATCTTGCTGTGAGGCGACTAACCACTGAGCCACCAAGCCACCTAGTTTTACATTTTAATAATTATATTTTTATATTTTAAAAAAATTAGCTTGGACATTTATCAATTTGTAAATGGTAATTTTACAAATGTAATGATAGTAATGATTTTTATATTTAAAAATTAGATAAACAACATCTTAGAAGATATATCTGTGTGATGTCTTATTTACCATGGCAACTGTTTGAACAACAGCTTTGAACACAGACAGAGTCAGTGCCATATTTTTTCTGGCCAGATGACTGTATGATGCCATTGTAAGAACCACACGTGATCGCTCCCTCCAAACCCTTGTTTTGTATTTCCCAACAAGTCTTGATTAGTTAGACTGAGTTAATTGCTGGTGGATGAATGTTGTGTGTTACAGCGACAGATTCCAGCTTCTCCCGGTGCTTCCCCACTGCTGGAGTCGAGCAGCAGAGCCTCGTGCTAATTCTTCATTGTGTGTCAGTGAGCAAATGAAAGAGCTGCTTGTAATAACCCATAAAGAGGCTTTTTATCTGTCCGCGACTCCCGAGTGCTCTCTGTCTTTCTTGCACTTTGTCTTTCTGACATTTTTTTTTCCCTCTCTCCTTCCATTTCAGACAGCTTTGCACAGTTTGTCTTTAGATAAAATGAAATGACTTGCTGCGGACGCTGTCAGACTCAGAAGAACATCTGTCCTGCCTGGAGATCCTGATTTCTGACCCCTGCCTGGTAAGATACACACTAACACACAAACACACACACACACATTCATACATTTATCTTTATGGGGACTTCCCACACAATGATTTTTTATTTTTGACAGACTATATATTCTAAAATGTAAATGTAAATCTCCCTACTCCTAAACAGGAAACAATATGTCTTATTACATTTTAGAATTACTTATATTCGGTGTGGTTTATAAGCCATTTTCCTCATGTGGACCAAAACATGTCACCACAAAGTGCAAATTTAATTTACTGGTAGTGCTACACTTATGAGGAGATTTGGTCCCCACAATGTATGAAATACAAGACACACACACACACACGCTAACATTCATTTATTCCTTTTCTTTCGGCGTAGTCCCTTTGTTAATCAGGGGTCACCACAGCGAATTGAACCGCCAACTTATCCAGCATATGTTTTATGCAGCGGATGCCCTTCCAGCTGCAACCCATCTCTGGGAAACACCCATACACCCTCATTCACGCACATACAATATGGCCAATTTAGCTTACCTAATTCACCTATAGCGCATGTCTTTGGACTTGTGGGGGAAACCGAAGCAACTGGGGGAAACCCACGCCAACATGTAGAGAACATGCAAACTCAACACAGAAATGCCAACTGACCCTGTCGAGGCTCGAACCAGCAACCTTCTTGCTGTGAGGTGACAGCGCTACTCGCTGCGCCACTGCACCGTCACACACCAACACATTAAACATAATTGTAATAACAATAAATAAAACAAAGTGTAACAATTTACAATGCTATTGGTCAGTTTTTATGTCCGTCTGTGAGTTTTTCAAGTAATTAACCAATGAAAACTACTTATGAGGACCCTTAAACTCTATTACCCTTTTAATAGTCGTTCCACCTTAAAAATAATGTATAGTTTGTCCAGATAAGTTCAGACAAAGATTGTTTTATTAAATATATCTACTGAAAATGTCCCTCTTGTGGGCAAGTGACAGTTAAAGAGTTACACGTCATAGCTCCGCCCCTTCTCCATTTTGAATGTCTCGTGGCGCATGGTGGATCGTATATCATCTATCATCTAGATCTATTTTGATTGTCAAAGCCATATAATCAGGGGCTTCATGATAAAAAAAAACTGCAATATGTAGTTTTTCATTGTGTTATAGAAATGCATAAATTTTCTTTAGGTTACTTGAATTGGTAAATGAACATGGACTTTTAATTTCAGTCAGCCAGCCCCAGGCTTCCGGTGAATTGCCATCCCATACAAAATCGATACGTTTAAGATCTGATTTCTTTAAAAAAAAAAAAAAAGTGCTCTTTAATGCCTGGCTGAGATCCGATACAAAGTAGGTATCAGACCAAACAAGAAGTACTGCGTTAAATTATATTTTTTTGTGCCATGTCTTTAAAATATGGAAATAAATTTTACCTGCTGCTAATGATGGTGCCTGCAGTTAAATAATATTTAGTATCTTTTTACGCTTCGACAACCTAATGGATGCTTAAGTCTATTTAATTGATTATATTTGAATTGCATTACAACATCAATGCTGTAAGAGGAACCTTATGAAATGCAAAACAGACACATAAACCTTTCACCGGAAGTTCACAATTGGCTGAAAAACATTAGCTGTGCATATTGCCCCTTATTGTTTGTAGAGTAAGTGAGCCATTTATATTGTTGTTATTATTATTTGTTATCATTGCTATTAATAATTAATCCTTTAATCTTAATCCTTTTATTTTATTATTTTTTTATTATTGTTATAATTTTTTTATACAAAACACTGTATGCCACAAGTCAATTTATGTTGACTTAGTATGATTATAAATGAAAAATTTTGGTACTTTTATGACAGAAAAAACAACATTAATGTATAACATTTTTCTTTTCAATTAACATTTTATCAGCCTGATAAGTGTCTTGAACTGGGATTTAATTGAATGGATTGACAATAAAGTACCTCAAAAGCCGACTATTAATTTATTCATGAAGATGAAATTACTGAACCTAAACATCGACTGATAAATGTGTATGTATACAAACACAATTATAACAGAAACTGAAAACTGCTTTCAAACCATCCCAATAAACTGCTGCCTTGTGACTCAGCGAAAGTCCTATAAATCCACCACATCCACGAAACATTCGCTTTTTAAACAGCCGCTTAATAAAACCGAACATCAATAAATTTTAAATATTTATCTGATTAAAATAACATGCAAAATTACAAACTCGGATGAGTCTCAATGCATCAATGAAGCATCTCTTCAAACATCAATGGCGCAAATCTTAATATGATTAAAAGAACATTATCATGACAAAAACATCAATTTGTCAAAATAAGGCCATCAATACTTTGGGCAAAAATATCAATGGCTTAAATACAAAGACAGATTACAGGCCACCAATCTTGCCATTGTTTCCAGACTTAGAAAAAAAAAACATCAGTTCTTCAATATTACGTTATTTTACATACAATTACAGAGCCAATGCACACATTTTTAGTCAGTATATTCCACACAAATGCAATATCCAAAAGGCAATTTTCACATAAGATATTGCTTTCTTTTCAACACGTGTTTGCTAAAGCCACATTAATATCTCAGTTGGATAAATTTGGAATAAACAGACAGAATATCACTCTTTTTTTTCTCGTCATGCACGCTCACAGACGTCCGCACACACTCTGATGCAGTGTTTTTTTGTGTGTCTCTGCAGGAGGAGAGCGGCGCTGTGTGCTGTAGAGGGGAGATAATGGCCTCTGGCTCCTCAATCTCTCGCTGTAATGTGTTTCTGACGCCAGCGAGTGCCTGCGGCCCCTTGGGAGGCACAGGGACGACATCATGATGGAGTGTCAGGTGCTTCTGTCTATGTGTGTGTGTGTGTGTGTGTGTGTGTCAGTATGCATATCAAACAGCTCCATAATGATATCTGTTTTCCTGCCAGCCGCTCTAGACTTTAGGGACCACCTTTGCTTTCTCTGTATTCCAGTTGCATGCCAATGTGTAGGTGCCCAAATGTACACATACAGTCTAGTCTGTTTCATTGATCGCTGTTGTTTTTTTGTTACCGTTTGGGCACCAGTCGGAGTGGCATGGTGATGGTAACCATGGTAACTGGTGCACTGACCAGCGGCGCCATGGTTGGTTATAATCACCACCAGCGCCACACTTGAGGACATGAGCAGTGTTAAAGGGTTAGTGGAGCCGCTGATGGTTTTCATGTGACAGGAGTGAGTGGCGGTTGAATCGGGACAGCTTTATAAATGTGGGTGGTAAGTTTTTTTTTTTTGTATGTAGAGGGGAGGATTTTGGGGAGGGAGAAAAGGATTTGTTTAGAATGTGTTGCAAGTCGTGAACCTGCATCTCCCACATGATACTTTCCCAGTTTTTTTTTGTGGGCTGTATTTCCCCCCCTCCTCCAACAGATTAGAATGTAAAACAACTTTATTATTAGTGTATTACATTAATTCATATAATTATTATTTAACATACTATTATTAATATACGCTCACGTTATTAGGTACTCCAGTCCAACTGCCCATTAACGCACATTTCTAATCAGTCAATCACATGGCAGCAAATTAATGCATTTAGGCATGTAGACATGGTCAGTATGATCTGCTGCAGTTCAAACCGAGCCTGAGAATGAGGAAGAAAGATGATTTAAGTGACTTTAAATGTGGCATGGTTGTTGATGCCAGACGGGCTGGTCTGAGTATTTCAGAAACTGCTGATCTACTGGGAACAACCATCTCTAGGGTTTACAGAGAATGGTCCAAAAAAGTGAGAATATCCAGTGAGTGGCAGTTCAGTGGGCACAAATGCCTTGTAGATGCCACAGGTCAGAGGAGAATGGCCAGACTGGTTTGAGCTGATAGAAAGGCAACAGTAACTCAAATAACCACTTGTTATAATCGAAGTCTGCAGAAGAGCATCTCTGAACACACCACATGTCCGACCTTGAGGCGGATGGGCTACAGCAGCAGAAGACCTTACCGGGTGCCACTCCTGTCAGCCAAGAGCAGGAAACTGAGGCTACAATTCACACAGGCTCACCAAAATGGGACAATAGAAGATTGGAAAAATGTTGCCTGGTCTGATGAGTCTCGATTTCTGCTGTGACATTCAGATGATAGGGTCAGAATTTGGCGTTAACAACATGAAAGCATGGATCTATGCTGCCCTGTGTCAATGGTTCAGGCTGGTGATGATGGAGTAATGGTGTGGGGGATATTTTCTTGGCATACTTTGGCCCCATTAGTACCATTTGAGCATTATGTCTATGCCACAGCCTACCTTAGTATTGTTACTGACCATGTCCAACCCTTTATGACCACAGTATACCCATCTTCTGATTGCCACTTCCAGCAGGATAATGTGAGCACCTTTGGGATATGGTGGAATGGGAGATTTGCAATATTCCTTCATTCATTTTCCTTTCGGCTTAGTCCCTTTATTAATCTGGGGTCGCCACAGCAGAATGAACCACCAACTTATCCAGCATATGTTTTATGCAGCGCATGCTCTTCCAGCTGCAACCCATCTCTGGGAAACATCCATTAAACATCCACACTAAATCACACACATACACTACAGACAATTAAGCTTACCCAGCGCATGTCTTTGGACTGTGGGGGAAACCGGAGCACCTGGAGGAAACCCACGCAAACATGGGGAGACCATGCAAACTCCACACAGAAACGCCAACTGACCCAGCCGGGGCTCGAACCGGCAACCTTCTTGCTGTGAGGCGATTGTGCTACCCACTGTGCCATATATAATAATATATGCATGTTGCATATGCAGCTGTTCATTGAAATTAAATGTACATTTTTAATATTTATTCTATGATTATAGAAATTACAGATATTTATCTTCATTTCTTAAATATTTTAATTGCTTTAATGTTGTTAATTAGTCATAGTTTTTTAATATTTTTTATTTGTTCATTATTTTGTCTTTAGTTTACATTTTTACTTCATGAAAATGAGAAATAGTCCCACGAAAACAAGCTAAAATAGTTTTGAATGCCCCTTTTGACGCCATTCTTTGTCTTTCCAAAATGACCACCAGTGCTCCACAATTCAACAGCAACTTCCCCATGGCTCCATTTAAAAATACATGGTTTTCATCTTTGGTCAATGCTCAAAACAGGAAAAAGTTGGCATAAAATCATCCACGATGTAGCGTCTCTCTCTCCCTCCCTCATTCTCTCTCCCTCTGTGTGTGTGTCAAGAGAGAGTAGTTTACAGCCACAGGGTCAATCTCTGTGAACAGCGAACAGAAAGAGAACCCCTCACACACACACACACGCACACTCTCTCACACATAATTCACAAAGACGGATCATTCACAAAGAGATATTTCACTCTCCTCCTCGTCTGCCAGGCCTACGGCGTCTCTGTAACTCAGCCGTGTGATTGACGGCAAAGATGGAGAGCCGAAAAAGCAAGCCGGACGCGTCAGATCATCCAGCATGCTGGAAAACCAGAGCGCCTGACTGTTATTGTCATGCAGACATTAGCGAGACATTGAAAGAAAGATCAAAGAAGGCCGGTGTGACCGTTATCTGATCACCGCACTGTTTGTCTAATGTCTAATGTTACAGCAGTTACAGGTCGCTGAGTCACACACATGCACACTTCACACCCACACGGGCCTGTCAGATAGATATCGCTGAAAAGACCCTCAACGAATTTACAACGTGGACATCAAACGCCCCCAAAGACAGCTGTCTGGCATGCTCACCCTGTACCTGTCACTGGATGAAACAAACATACAGTTGAAGGCTAAATTATTAGCCCTTCTGTGAAATTTGAATAGTTTTTCAGATATTTCCCAAGTAACGGCAAACAGAGCAAGGACATTTACACAGTATCTACTACTAATATGATAGTACTATTTCTAATATTCGTAATGGAATAGATGCAGTTTTGAATTTCCAGGTCAACATTATTAGCTCCTTTTAAGATTTTTTTTTTTGATTGAACAAACTATTGCTCTCCAAAAACTTGCCTATAATATGCTTAGAATGCTGCACGGTAAAAAAATTATCTGAAAAATCTTAATGACAACAAATATTTTTATGTTGCTTTAACTTATTAATAAGTTGATCAGGTTTTAAGGTATACAAAGTTTATTTTAACATATTTAGTCAGTTTCATTTATGTAAGTTCAGATGAAAAAAAAAAAGTTAATTTGATTCAATAAAAAATGAAGGCAGCAAGAATGTTTTTTTTTTTACAGTTTAGTATCTTGCAAAATAAGTAGCAAAATATTATGTACTGTCATCATGGCAAAAACAAAAAAAATTATTTATTAGAAATTAGTGAAACTATTATGTTTCAAAATGTGTTGACAAGTTAATTCTCAACATTAAACAGCACTTGGAAACATTTAAAAAAGAATTTTTGCTACACCAGATGGCTAATAATTTTGATTAAAACTGTGTACAGGCCCAATTTTAGTAAGAGTTGCATTTATTTGGTCAAGTATAGAAGGAAGTTTGGAAACTTTATCATAATTTAATATTGCATTTTTAGGTTTTGCTATGTTTTGATATTGAATTAATTTTTGCGATGAAAAAGCTGCATTTTTAGCATTGTCAGACCAGTTTTTGTGTCGCATGGTCCTTCAGAAACCATTCTAAAATGCTGATTTAGTGCTCAAAAAACATTTCTTATTATTAGGAGTGTTGAAAAAGATTGTGATGCTTACTTATTTTTGAGGAAACACTGATACTCTTTTTGATGGATTGAAAGGTTCAAAGGACAGCATTTGTTTGGAAAAAGAAATATTTCATAACATAATAATTTACTTTATTGTAACTTTTTTACACTTTTCACATTTAATGTTAATTCACAATTCCGTGAAGAAGCTTATTTTTCTATTTTTTTCTCCAATAAAATGCTTGACACTAAACCTTGAACAATATATTTCATTCTGTTAATTGTATTTATTTTAATACTATATAATAGAATGGCTATATCAAAAGAAAATGTCATACTGTTAACAATATTTTGTATGGTTTGTAAATAATAATTAGCAAAATAATTCATGCAGTAATACATTAGAATCTTGGAAAGAAAACTACATATGGGTGAAGAATGGCAGATGTTCTGCATCAAACTAATCTAGAAACTAAACTACAAAATGAAAAGTGATTTTACATAATTTATTTTACTTTTTTAAAATAGCTTCTTTAATTTTGTCATGTTTTAATGCTTGGGAAAAAAACTAATATATTAGAGTATATCATAGAATAAATATATCAGTAGAAAATGTCATACTGTTAACAATATTTCGTATGATTTGTGAATAATAATTAGCAAATTAATGCAGTAATACATTAGAATCCTGAAAAAGACTACAGATAAGTGAAGGATGGGATGTTCTCATCCTTCTCATCCATGAGATGTTCTGCATCAAACTTAGTCTAGAAATAAAATAAAAAAACCCTACAAAATAGAAAGTGATTGTGCATAACTTATTTTACTTTTTAAAATAACCTATTTAACTTTGTTTTAAAATGCTTGAGGAAAAAAAAGTTCTTGGCTTTGACCCTAATATATTATTACCACTATTATTATAATATCTCAAATATAAGTCATTTGGTATCAACTTTAGCTTAGATAACTACTCAGCTATTTCCCAATACTGGGAAGAGTTGGCGGTTCATTCTGCTGTGGCGACCCCTGATGAATAAAGGCAACGAGGGAAAATGAATGAAAGAATAGTTTTGACTTCAACTGTATATAGGTGCAGTTTTAGTATGTGTAGCATTTATTTGATCGAGAATAGGGGGAAATTTGTAAATATTATTACAATTTTATATTGCATTTTTACAATTTGAGATGTTTTGAAATTTACTTTTATTTTTTTTAAACTGCATTTTTAGCATTCTGATATTCTGATTTGGTGCTCAAGAGACATTATTATTATTATAAGTATTGAAAAAGGTTGTGATGCTTAACTATTTTTAAGGAAACTCTGATACTCTTCATGATGGATTAAAAGGTTCAAAGGACAGCATTTGTTTGAAAAAGAAATCTTTCTTAACATTATAAATGTCTTTACTGTAACTACTGTAACTTCTGATCAATTCACGTTTCCGTGAAGAAGTAATTTTTTTAAAATAAAAGAAAATTTATTTTCCAAATAAAATTATTGAACAATAATTTAAAGTTTAAAACATGTTCTGGATAAGTTGGCGGTTCGTTCCGCTGTGGTGACCCCTGATGAATAAATGGACTAAGCTGAAGGAAAATGAATGAATGAATGTTTTTGTTAAAAAGAGATGTTGGTAGATATAAAAATGAGAACATTGTTGATGTGATACAATCACATCAGGTTCATACTCATCTTGACCAATCTTAGCACAGTTTGAGATTCTAAAGCGAAAACAATTGCATTCAAGATTTAAAAAAACAATGCAACAATTCAATATTTGGTTTCCTAAGGGCTTGTTTGAGATTTTCATGCAAATAATTGTTTTAATGAAGTTTGTGTTTGAACATCTCACTTCAATGAAATATATTCCACAAAATCCTTTAGATACCACCAAAGTACAATTAAATAAAGAGTCTTCAGCTCTCCAGTCATTTAGGAAGCCATTTATCATAACTCTCAAGCCAAGCTCATGAGAAACGGCTCTCAAACTGTTTTTGCATCGTGACTTTCAGCAGAATGAAACGAGAGAAGCCACCCAGAAAGCGATGACCCGCTGACCCCTGTGGTAATGCCAGCCTCCAGGCGAGCTGACTTCACACCAGCAGATGCACACAGCTCTTTCTGTCCTGCTCTTCAGCTGTCCAGGATCTGGAGCCATGGAGAGAGAAGAGCTCAAGGACGGGGACAGCAGAGCCGCCGCTGCAGCCCTGCGGGCCTGTTCTGGACTCCACTGTCAGCCATGATGGACAGCTGCTGCCCAGGTATATCAGGACAAGTGCTTTATGCGATAATGTGGGTGGCTGGTGCCCTGGTTTCTGATTATACATGCACAACAAACCCTCTGCTGTATGCAATTAAGTACAAGACCAACAAGATTATACAAATATATTCATAACAGCCTTGGTGTCCACTATAATTTAAAAGTGTTAGTGCCCTATGAAATCTGTTTTATTTTTTCATTAAGTTAATTAACCCCCCCCCATTTATTTTTTTTGTAAATTAAAACAAAGATGATATAATACATTTATTAATACATTTAAATGTTCTTGCATTTAAAAATATCTAAATATTAAAAAATTTCAAGGATTTAAGATATTGATGACTGTTAAACGCGTCATAACAGGCTTGTGAAAAGGGTCCATAGCATGAACTAAAACTAAAAACATGAAATATATTTAGCAACAATTTATTCTGAATTTTACATAAAAAAAAAAAAAAAAATATATATATATATATATATATATATATATATTTTTTTTTTTTTACCCTCTAAAATGTTTTTAAACATTTGTTTATCTTATTTTAATTTATCATTAAAAAAAAATTCCATTTCATTCTTTTTTCTGGACTTTATAGATAAAATGTTTTAGGACTCAAAAAGAGTGTAACTAAAGTCATGAAACAACATCAACCATGAAGATTTAACAATTTCTTGATCAATTTACCAAAATATTGTATGAAACCCTTTAAAATGTTTTTGTTTTGTTGTTTTGTACATGATATGCTGTAAAGATAGCTTTTCTCACATAAAATGGACAAATTCTGGTAAAGTGACCCTCAGATCAAGCCTGGAAATAACCTACAAGTGGATTTGTCCTCAAATAGTAAGAGGAACATGTACAAACCAGATTTTATATAGTAAACCAAACTGTGTCATTTATTGACACAAACATGCTGAACCTCTATATTTCTTCCATCCATATATCCCATACAGCAGACTTCATATTTCTCTTTCGGTTTGATATTCACGGGACTAAAACAGTCTCCTTTATTCTTCTAAAATTTGTCAGATTCATTTTTATTCTGTCTTTATCTAATTCCATTTTAAGACTGGGTTTCATGATTGCAGTGCTGTCGCCTCACTGCAAGAAGGTCGCTGGTTTGAGCCTCGGCTTTGTCTTTTGCTGTTTCTGTGTGGAGTTTGCATGTTCTCCCTGTGTTCGTGTGGGTTTCCTCCAGGTACTCCGGTTTCCCCCACAGTTCAAAGACATGCGGTACAGGTGAATTGGGTAGGTAAATTGTCTTTAGTGTATGAGTCTGAATGAGTGTGTATGGATGTTTCCCAAAGATGCATTGCAGCTGGAAGGGCATCTGCTGCGTAAATCATATGCAGGATAAGTTGGCAGTTCATTCCGCTGTGGCGACCTCAGATTAATAAAGGGACTAAGCCGAAAAGAAAATGAATGAATGAAGGATTTCATGATTGCATCCACGTTTTTTGGATTACAGTGATCATAGGTCCCTATAAACTAACTCAGCCCAAGCAGAAGCATGTGTGTGTGTGTGTGTGTGGAGCGAGAGTTTGACAAGCAGAGGAGATTCCCACTTTGTTGCAAATCTCCAGATGCCATCACCATGGCTACATCAGGCTGGGAACCCAACCTTTGACCTCTCAAAGGGTCACTAAGTGACCCCTGCTGTTTGTACAGAGAAACTCCTCAGTGACGAGCGGAGGGAAAGACATCTGGCAATGCGTGTGTGTGTGTGTGTGTGTCTTGCAAATTACTGGGAATAATGGGCAAGTCTTAACTCTCAATAAGAGTTTTGGACATTTACAATGATAGAGTGGGGGTGTTTGAATTTTAAAGCTGTGCGAGTGTCAAAAATAAGTAATATTAAAACGTCACTTGTCTCCATTTCTCCGATCTGACACACCAGCTTATGTGGGGAGAAAAAGTCTATCAAAGCGCTATTTCTTTTATACTCGCTCACTTTTCCCTTTTCCATATTCATTTAACATGACATGCACTTTTTTTGTGCTCTTTTTGTCTATCTTTCTCTCTCTCTCTCTCTCTCTCTCTCTCTCTCTCTCTCTCTTCTCTTTGATGCCTACATTCCTAATGTATGTATCTCCACCTCTATTATTCTTTCATACTATTGGACATTTGTAGCCACACCCAATCCTCTCTTTCTCTCTTTCTGTTTCATGATCACATATTAAAGGATTTAAGAAGGACCATGTGACCCTAAAGCTTTAATAAGGAATGGTGAAATTCAAGTTCTGCTAATTCAGTTTTGCTAAATTTCTTATAAACATATGGAAGTATGTGTGGGTTAAATGGGGCATTTATTCCAAATGAATTTTTTTTATGTGTTGACCATTAATTTAGGTAACAAATTTATTTTAGAGGCCTAAAAGCTCTGAAAACTTTTAAAAGTTGGCTTTAAAAATCAAGCGTTTTAAAACACATTTTTGGTTACTTTGCAATCTGAACAATTCTGGTGGACTGCAGGACCAAGTGTTTACATGCATTGCATTGACTAGTGGGACAGAATGCAGAACTCTGACAAAGCTGTGATCTCTAAATAACACAAAGCAATGTTTCAGTATTTAGTACATCTTGGTCTTGTTAACATTCTTTCAAACTGTATTGAATGTTGAAAATATGATACCAAAGTGCACATGATACATTTTAGAAACGGTCATCTGTGTATGCTTGTATTACAGACTAATATTGGCCAGAATGCCTTAAACAAAGGAAGAGTAATTAATGATAATCACTAGAAGTTTTTTGTGTCAAAGAAATAATGTTTTCATATGATTCACTGATGATATTTAGCTTTTGTCAACTTTGTGTTTTTTAAAGCTCAGTATTTAAATGCTGCTGTTTGTCATCACCATAGCTACATAAATATCTTCTAATTCAATTAGTTACTGTTTATCTATTATTAAATCACTTTACATGCATGCTGACACCCAAGTTTAAATATTTTTGTGGTAGATAAATGGATTAAAATATTAGCTTGAGCTGTAAAAGCAGTTTTACTCTAAGCTCATATCTTGTAATCTGTCATGTTTTCAACTAGTGAAGAGGAGTAGAGGATCTTTGCTGCAGCAGATGAACAATACAGTCATTACAGAACTACTCTATATTAGTATAGTATACGACAACTAAAGGAAGAAACCAAATGAAGGCCTAAATAGGTGGTTAACTGAGAGACCCAAAATGTTGTTTTAATTGAATGAACATGATTAACCAGTTAGAAACCATAGAAACAGGCTAGCAGGGAGGAAATGGTATCATGAACAAAATATAGACAGGAGCGTCCGAATAAATCAAAATGCATCTGCATTCTGTAAATAAGTCTACAAACTGGACTGCACAGTGGTGCAGTGGGTAGCACGATTGTTCGCTGCAGCAAGAAGGTCGCTTGTTCAAGCCTCGACTGGGTCAGTTGGCATTTCTGTGTGGAGTTTGCATGTTCTCCCCGTGTTCGTGCGGGTTTCCTCCAGGGGCTCTGGTTTCCCCCACGAGTCCAAAGATATGCGCTGTAGGTGAATGGGTAAGCTAAATTGTCAGTAGTGTATGTGTGTGACTGAGAGTGTATGGGTGTTTCCCAGAGATGGGTTGCAGCTGGAAGGGCATCCGCTGCGTAAAACATGCTGGATAAGTTGGCAGTTCATTCTGCTGTGGCGACCCTTGATTAATAAAGGGACTAAGCCGAAAAGAATATAAATAAATTAATGAATAAACTAATGTTCTGGATTACAATAAAATCTGCTGTTAGACATGTAGACTGGAATGACTTAAAAAAAATTTTTGTAGGGAGAACATGCACACTCCACACAAGGCTCGAACCAGAGACCTTTCTTGCTGTGAGGTGATCGTGCTACCCACTGTGCCACCGTGTCGTCATAGAACCATTGCTTGTAAGTATACAAACCACAATGCAGCCTTTATTGCTAAAGGTGCAATTGGAGATCTTGGAAAATGCTAACGTTAGTCTGATAGCAACCCATCCTGCAAATCAACATGCCTCCTAAATGCACAGTGTATAACATCACTTAACATTCATTCATTCATTTTCGGTTCGGCTTAGTCCCTTTATCAATCTGGGGTCGTCACAGTAATATGAACCGCCAACTGGAAAGCATAACATAACAGCTCCAGCATATGTTTTTTGCAGTTGATGTCCTTCCAGCTGCAACCCATCTCTGGGAAACATCCATACACACTCGTTCACTACGGACAATTTAGCTTACCCAATTCACCTATACCCCATGTCTTTAGACTTGTGGGGGAAACCGGAGCACTTGGAGGAAACCCACACGAACACGGGGAGAACATGCAAACTCCACACAGAAATGTCAACTGACCCAGCAGAGGCTCGAACCAGCAACCTTTTTGCTGAGGCAACAGCACTACCTACTGCGCCACCGCATCGCCTTATAGTAGTTATTAATTACAATACCAAACTTAAAAAAGAAGGCAAGTTGTTGATGCTTGCCTGCCATCCATGAATAACAAAATCCTTTCTGCTTAAACAGGCTGTGCAGAGATAAGCCATTATATATTTTGACAGGCAGATAAGATTGTAACATTTGTAAGGAAAAACTTTTCTTGGTCCCACATGTTCCACACAATATAAAAATGCACATAAATAGATTTGGACCACTTAATTTGACGATTGCTCTCAGGATATGTCATATGGATAGGTCTTCATGTCAGGATATGTGTATACAACTATTTGTTTATACGACTTTTCGAATGTAATTGTATTATTTGCTAATAATAAAAGCTGCTCCAAATTGCAGTGAAATTTAGTGTTAAGCTTTGGTCTTGATTGACTGGCAGGCTCAGAAGGAGCCCGGGGCTTTACAGGCCACAGGGCAATAGTGCATGATAATATACAGAGCAGAAACACGCGGGAGTCAAGCACAGCCCAAACACACATCCTGTCTGCTGCAGGAGTCCCAGGTGCTGCAGCGTATCACGTTTCCTCGTTCAGTCCCCAAAACGCTGCCAGTCCATAAGCGAAAGACCCCGTCTGTGTGTGTTTGAGGCTGATACAGCGCATATGGCTCAAACGATCTGGCAACTCTATTTATTACACACAAGAAGTTAAATTGAGCTTTATGAAGAGTGTGTGAACATACAGCTCTGGCAGCGGCCAAACACCGTGACGTTACGCAGGCCTGGAATTTCTATATAACATAGTTAGTGGCCATTTCTCTTTCAAGCGTGCT